AAGGAAAGGAAAGGAAAGGAAAGGAAAGGAAAGGAAAGGAAAGGAAAGGAAAGGAAAGGAAAGGAAAGGAAAGGAAAGGAAAGGCATCAAACAGACAAAACCCTCAGAAAAACCTCCAGCAACTGAACAACTTTTGAAGAAGTGTGCCCATTCCCTCAGTATGCACATACAGCTGCTGCATCCACTTTTCTTTGCCTGTTTTACTTCACATCAGTGCTCCAGGTTACGGAGCAGGTGTAGCATCAGCAACTTAGCTGGGAAACAGACCTCATTTAATGTCAGTGGAGACTCCTGCTGAATTTTTCAGGGCTTCGATCAAGCATGGAAAACCTCAATAATGAATTTTACTGTATTCAAAAGAAATGTTTTATTATGTCAGGTGTTCTCCGTGTCAGCAGGAGACTCTCTTGGCTGAAATAGAACAGGTCTACAAGGAGGGGCTAATCATTTGGAGCACACCACTTGGTTGAGCATGGGTTAATGGTTTCCCATGATTGACTTACTGTGCCTTAATCATTCACCTCTTGACTGCCCAGGAGTGGTAACTTGCTGTGTGCACACTCAGAGCATATCAGAGCTGTGTCTTCAAGTGCCTTTGCCTAAACCCCCATAGAGCTGAGTCAACTACTTGCACTTGTCTATCTATTATTTCAGTGCCCAATTTAAGACATATCTAAAGAGTCTGATTAGTCAGGAAGCACAGCACTCCCAGTCACGGAAAAACAGTCGCCTTTAAATTGTTTCCAAGTCAAGATCCAAAATTACAAGTCCTTTTGAAACATTAGGATACAGCAAGAAAGATTTACAGGCTGTACTTGAGTCTCTGTTTCTCAAACAGCAAAAGACAAAAATGGAAAATGTTTATCCTGAAAATGTTTTCCAGACTCTTTCATTATCTCCATATTCACAATGAACTCTGGCACCACAGCTGGCCCCTGAACACATGGAGATGCTGGCAGATTACACAACTAGCCCAGACATACAGGGGAGAAGAAGGGGTGGGTATTCATTATCTGCACATCCCACAACACTGATAACCACCAGAGAAAGTTCAAAACTTCACTAACTAATAAAGAGTCAGAAACACTTCTAGGCAGACATTTAATTCCACTGCAAGCTCACCCAACCCTGTGAGGTGCTGTGTGTCCTCCATGGAGAGAGGGGACAACTGGAACCTCTGGCTATATCTACCTCACCTTTTCCCAACATGCTGAATGCCTGCATGGTGTGAGGTCTTTTGTGCTGCTTGCCTTGGAGTCATGATACACATCTTTTTAAATACCACTTGGTGATTCCTAGCATGTGGCTGCTCAGTCCATGCTTGATATTAATGGAAATAGACATTGTAGCAATGTGAAAAAGAAAAAGGATAGACGAGGCCTATCAGCTTTGACAGTATTTGCCCTTTTCCTGGCACACCATGCTGGACATTAAGTGTTACAGGCAAAATACCTTACAGAATGTGCTTTTCCTCAAACCAGCAGATTTTCACTTAAAAAACAAGCCCCGAGAAATGAAAATATTCCAAGGTGAGACTAAGATTCCTATACATGCAGAGTAAATACCCTGAGGTAATAATGTCTGGTTTGAAGAAATAAGAAGTTTTCTACACAGATAGGAAAACTTAAAAACCCCAGCTGTTGGTAGACAGCTTCTGTAATAAATAAACCCAATATAAAGCATCAGGAACCTTTACCATGACAACCCGCATGCTCTGAATGTGCCTGGGCAGATCTATTTCCTAGCTTTGCCACCAGGGAAACAAGCAAAATAAACTAATACATGAACAGGAAAATCTGGAGTGAGTTCATATTTTCAGCTCAAAGTTTGGTACTGGCAACACTTGAAAAACCCTGTAGTCCATCTCCTCTGCAAACCCATCACTGATCAGAGGGTGGCATAAACAGCTTTTTCTCAGGGAACAACTAATTTTTATCTCAGTAGCAGAATGATGCAGGTCTGGGTTGGCCTGATCTGTCCTGGAGTGGAAAGAATTTGGGGCTTGATGATACTTCAAGGACCCGTTCGAATTCAGACTCTCACCTGCAGTGCTGATACTCCTCAAGCTGGTAAGGACATCTCACTCTACTGTAGCTGTCTGAAATAGCTTCTGGTTTATAACTCTCATCACTCCTTTTGTCTCTGGAAGTGGGACACCATCAGAAAGGTAACCCTGACTTCACTGCAGAACCACCTCATCTCCCAAAATAAGCCTCCATATGGAAAAGTAAGGGAGATTTCTCCTCTCCTGCTGTATCACCACACAGCTACAGCAGTAACCTATTACTACTGGTTTTCACGGAACTGCAGCCAATTCCCATCCAGAAAGGAAAATGGCATGTTTCACTACATTCTCCCCCAAATACCACAATACTAAAAATGAGGCTGAATTCTTTGGTCCCTAAATGTATCCTTGAATATGTGGAGAAAGAGGCACTGAGCATAGAAAGTGCCCCTTTGCAGGTCCTGGTTTTAGGGTTGGCTTCAAGCCATGCAGTATCACACTGAGTCACAGTTCCAGGCAGAAGGAACTAGCAGGCAATATGTAACTCCAACAATTCATCCTGGGTAAGGCCTAAACTTTTGCACATCATTACTGCTATTCTGCATGACCTTCAGTAGTTCCACTACTAATGGTCTTATTAAGAAATATTCCCTTGCATCATTTAATTAACAACATCAAAACTCCTAGAATGAATAGTATCCTAAAAGTTTTCCATTTACAGATGGATTCTGTTTAGATCAGATAGACATTTCAGATGCCTTTTTACTTAATAAAATAATTAAGTAATAAAAACATTTGCTGAGGAACAGAAAAAATATTAATGAATTACTAATGAATCAACATTTAAAAGAGTGTTTGAAGAAACAAGGAAAGAAAGTAAAAAAGCTTGTTTGTAGACATCACTGAGTCTTCTGCTTTGCTGGAGTCACCTTGATATAGTGAAGGAGTTCAGCAGAAGTCTCTGCTTTAGCTTTTCTCCCTGCCTTGTCAGTCGAGCAGGCTTGTTGCAAGCTCCTAGCTGATAAGACACAACCACTGTCAGTAAAAAAAATATTGCTAAATCTTAGAGTACAGTGTTCACCAGTCATTTTCATGGTAAATCTGTGTGAACTCTACCACACATTCAAACAACTTTTTTTTTCTGGTAAAGAGAATTCCACATTAAATGCAATTATTCAAGCAAAAGAGCCTGATGGTGGTACGAGTACTGGCTAATAATGGAAAAAGGGTCTGCAAAAGAATTTAGTCAGGAATGGTTCAGAATGCAGGGCCAACGTGCTTCGACAGAGAATCACAACTTCTGCAGCAGTTTCTCTTGAATGAGACATGCTTTAAGCATAAAATAATTGAAGCTTAAAATACCTAAAAGTTGTCCTGTCTTTTGAAAACTTAAATGCCATCAATCCCTTGATGACTGACCAGCATGGAAGATAAAGGCTCTTCACATCTGGCTTACGCCAAGGCATTTTCAGGATTTCTTTTTTTTTTAAAATGCAGATTGATAGTTTGTTCTTTTTCACTTGTTTTGCACAGGCAGGTGTATTTTGTGGCTTTGAAGCCCACATCAGAGAATATGTTTCCAGCAAATCAGACCTTCACTCATGGAGCATACCATCTCAGGGCAACCCCATCAAGCAACCAAAGTCATCTGTGTATCCCTGGGTGCTATGTTTTTTCCTACAGCTTGAAATATGAATTGTTTTTCCTCTTGAATTTTTGTGCCAGATAAAATACAGCTCTCAACAAGCCTGAACTGAAGCAGATGAGCCTTCCCAACTAGTGGCAGAACTGACTGAAAGTGCCAAAGGCCTCCTTCTGTCCTAAGCAATTCCAAAAATCAGACCTGCACACATTGCTAGCTAGATTTGCAT